CTGGTTCTGATGGAGGTTTTCTTACTGGTTTTGGTTCTGATGGAGGTTTTCCTCCTGGTTCTGGTTCTGATGGAGGTTTTCCTACTGGTTCTGGTTCTGATGGAGGTTTTCCTACTGGTTCTGGTTCTTTACTTAGTGAGGACACTTTTTTTTAGGTTGCTCTTCATGAACTGCTCTAATTTGGGAGTTTAATGAATGAATCAGACTCTAATTTATTTGAATTGGGCCTGTTTCCAGGATTCTTTGTTCTTTGTGAACAAAACCGAACTGAATTCAGTAAAAACATCCCCGGAAAGAGAAACACTGACAATAATAAAACATAAAAGTCTCTTTAAACCTGGAACGAAAAGACAAACTGTTCTTCACAGCAGCATTAAACAGTATTTTAAAGTATAATAAATAGTAGAAATCCACATTATTCACACCTGAGGGTGTCTAAACTTGCCATTTTAAGCCTGAGTGTATTTAGTAAGAGTGAATACACTCATTTAAAAAAAGGAAATTTAACATTTTAAATAATTTTCTGCCATTAAATGCTGAATCAATGACATTTCTCAGCCGTTTTAAACAGATTTTTTTGCTTTTTACCAAATATTACAGAGCCAACGTAAAACAAACGATCGGTTTGGAAGGTAAAGGTGTTTTTCTGTGGAAAATAACAGTGTCTGTGACGTGTGTTTTACGGAAGATTTGCCCCGAAGGCGAGATTGGGAAACTCAGCGTCACTGTTTTAAAGTGGAAAGCATTTTTTTCCGACATTTCCAGCCAGAAAACGGAAAGCTCTGATGTTATCTCCGGTTATCAGCGAAAGATCTGGAAGACTCCCACTGCTTCGCTGAGTCACATTTTTATTTTATTTTATTTTTTTCATTCACCTTTAAGCAAACGATGCCAGGCAGATCCACACATCTGATCCCTAGAAGGGACAAAGATCCAGATATGAGATTCGTCTTTGCTAACTGAGCTACTGAGCTGAAACAGAGCCAACAGAAACTGACTCTTAAAATAAAAAATAATTAGCTCAAAACGACTCGACTGTCACTTTCCACCAGCGGCTGAGAGAGAAACTGAGGATTAAAGGCAACTGTCTGCTAATCTTTGTTTATTCTAAAAGAAAAATACCTTTCAGCTTA